ATTGGCGCTTACACATATGTTAGTGTTTGGCCGAGCTTCTCCTCCGATTTGTGGCGTGCGCCTTGATGTTGTCACACAAAGCGGAGGGACCTACAGTTTTACGCCGACTCCGAGCGATTGTATTTTTATGAGAAGCTGTTTTTCATGGCAGAAATACACTCGGAGGTTTGCCATTGCCTGCCGAGGGACGAACGCTTTTAAGAAAAAACCTTTTTCTATATTTTTTAAGTACAAAATGTGTTTTGTTAAGTGTTTATAGTGTATTTAAGTTGCAATTTTGATAAATATAACTCATTATTTGTGATGAAGTGCAAGCATATTAAATATGTACATATGTAAAAAGTTATATGACCGATGCGCCGTCAGCGAAGTTTGCCAATACAGCGACGCATGGGCACAGAAAAAGGCTTTCGCACAGTATGTTTGGTGAAAATTGAAGAAGGCTAACATAGTACATATATTTAAGTGCATATAAAATTATGTTAATACATATTTATATACAATGCATGTACATAACTACATATCGATGGTTCTTTGCAATAACGACACAAGTCAAAACTTAAAAAAAGTTAACTACTGAAAAGTGGCACATATTTCTAATCATTGCTAAATATGACTGCATTATGAATATTTAATAAGGAATAGCCACAGATTAGACAGTTTTGAGTTGTGCCGTTGTTTGCCGAGGGCCATTTATGTATGTATATTTGTGTTCATAAACATGTTATATATGTATGTATGTACATATGAACAGTCGGTGCTCCTGTACGGGCAGAAATATGGGCCGACGCATTGAAAGTGAAAAAATACCGGATTCAAATGTCTTCGGTCCAGCGCAGAGGGGCACTGCGCATTGCTTCTGCATACCGTACAGTGTCCGCGGACGCGGTTATAGTTTTCTCTGGCGTCATGCCAATTGGGCTACTTGCTAGGAGCGAAAAGAGATTTACAATCTCAATGCCGAGATAGATCGAGCAGCTGCCGCGAGCAACTCATCCAGCAGTGGCAACAAAACTGGAACGCGAGCACAAAAGGTCGATGGACGCACACCCTGATAGCGGACCTTCAAACTTGGTTGAACAGACCGCATGAGGAAGTCGATTTCTACCTGACGCCATTCCTCACCGGTCATGGTTACTTCTGAGAATATCTTCATAGAGTGGGAAGGGTGGACTCACCGTTCTGTCACTACTGTGGAAACGTCGAAGATAACGTGTACCATACATTCTTCACCTGCGAACACTTCTTGATTTCGCGCAGAATGTTGGAAGAAAGATACGGAGACATAACTCCGAACAACATAATTGGGGTAATGATCTCCAGTGCAGACAAGTGGGAAGCAGTTGCGAGATACGTGAAATTCGTACTCCGCTGCAAACGAGAGGACGGATGTCTACTGAGGACACCCGAATGAAACGCCCCTACAACAGAGCAGCCCCGAGACTCTAGCAGCGCGCTCCTCCATCTGAAGACATGCAGAATTGCCGTACCAAATGCGGGATTCTTGCGCGGGCGGTGGGAGTTTGGGTTCTAGTGGGTAGCCCAACACGTTTCGGTGGGAAGCATTTCCCTCTCCTACGAACAAAAAAAGGACCCCCGAATGTCTACGGCATAACAGCTTTCTCCTTCAGGACTACTAACTACCTTTCTCCTTCAGGATGTAGTGATTGACGTCATTTCCGTGTGGTGCAGAGTTCTGAGACAACATGCATTTCCTGGTTTTATACGAACACTTGAGAGCCCCTGAAAATACTGTTAAAGTATAAACAGAACAGGTTCGCTGAGTAAATTTCGTCGGACGGAGCGATGCCGCCCGGTGATATTCACGTAAAATTTCGTCAAGTAAAACTAACCGGAACAATAATTTAGTGATACTACAAATATTGTTGAGGATTTTCCCCTAAAAAAATGCTAGTTTGAAAATAATAAAAGGCTAGAAAAAAGCCACGAATCTAAATCCTAAATTTCGAAGCTAAACGACAAAGAGAAAAGCTAGTGCTAGCCTCAAAAAGGCTAAACTGCCAACACTGAGTAGGACATTTTAAATTGTTTTGGCCCAAACTTTTAGTAAATTCATACATATGTATGTATATGTACATATTTGTGATACCACAAAAATCCTATGTACCCAGCGGATGACGAAGCGTGTTCCATTAATGTTTTGTTGATTTACAGGTTATTTGAAAGCGTAAGTCTATAGATTTATGTTGGTGTCTGTATGCGTTTGCGTAGTACATGTGTTTACACAAATTTGGTCGTGATGGTAAAATTTAGCATAATGATTTTTTTTTTTTACGTCGCGAATGCGTGATTTGTGTTTTGAGTTATCAATCATACTTTATAATATCTTCAAAAGTTAGCGCTCGTAAACGTACACGTTTACAAACTGCAAATGCTCGTAGGCATGAAACTTATGCAGATCTATGTATTGTAAAAATGTATATATATGTCGTTTTCGAACTTTTTACTTTGCTGCTGCTATACTGCTATGCTGTGTGGAAATTTATCAAAAGACCACAAAGTTGTTTATGTGTTTCAAAATGAATATTTAGTAGCACGCAGCAACAAGGATAGTCCTTAATAAATAGCAAACTAGCACATACTATGAATACTTACGAATATATATACAGGATGTGCTAGTCCACCCTCTCTAAAATAGAGGGTAATGTTTTTTTTTATTGAAAAACGCAAAAATATGACTGCAGTCAGTTTAACCCACTTCCGGTCGAAAGCGGAAGTCAGTAACACGACCAACAGATAGGGCATCCTCGACCTACCATTTCGTTTCCAATGAAAATATTTTCACTTATTTCAAAAGTCCAGGACGAGTGGAAGTTTGAAGGTCATTTAGTGGTTGAAAAAGCCACTTCATCAGAATCCAAATCAGTAGTAAAAACAGTAGTATCTCTAATTTCTACAAAATGAACTTCAGGTCCAGTTTTTCCCACTTTCGTTCGAAACCGGAAGTCGGTAGCATCCATGACAATGGACAATGAAGAGCATTTAAAAGTTATGGCTTTCGAGTTCTTTCTCTGATTAATCATTTTCAAATGAGTGTATCTCCTAAAAATTATGGTCCTTGAGTTTTCTCTGAGGCCTTTTTTTCTGATGCACTTAAGTCATTTGGTCTCAATAATTGAGAGATCATTTGAAATTAACGAATACGCTCTATTAGCATTCCTCAACAGAGCAGAGCTTTTGATCACACATTTCCAAATGCAGCGGCTTAGAAATAAATTCAGCTAAGACTAAGGTTACTAAATAGACGGTATACAAACCCGACGGCATCGATATAGCAGACCTCACAAGATGGCTCTTACCTTAAACAGAAACAGAGAGTCTATTGCTCAAAACCGTACATTTTTTGAACGAGCTGCATTATATAATCCAATTCATATCTGTGCCTGGACATTGGGGTTTTGAGGGCAATTTTTCGAGAGAAAAAACAGACTAGTTCAATGAAATCTGGAACACACTTTCGTGCTGTAAAAACTAGAGAATGCCACGCCTTTCTCAAATCAGGAAATAAAAACCGATGCTGTCGACTATAAACAGAGAAATCTTCCTTATAAGAACCCTTACGGGCCTCTGCTTAACTGGATTACACGCCATACCACTAAAAGCATAAACAGACGGCAGCGTTGATCCGGATCAACTCGGGAATCAACTGCAGTTGATCCGGATCAAGTCCGAGTTAATCTGAATCAACGCTGCCGTCTGTTTAAGCTTAAGGCTGCGAACACACGGCATTGTCATAGTGTAAAAAAATATCAGAAGAAGAAATGTGCAGCACTGTTAATACTATTTGCCCGTTGTTTTATTCTTAGAACACCCCTCGTAATTACGACAACATACGTATATTTCCAACTTTGGAATTCATTTAAATATGCAGTGGCAAAAAGTTTGCTTTTGTTTTTGTGAACTTTTAATCGGCGACATAGGTACACGGTGTGTCTGACTTGTGAGTCGGTTTGGATGTGTTTGTGAAAATAAATATGTGTTAGTTACATCGACATGACTCCTGGCATGACTCTGAATGATTTAACTGTGTGTAGTCGAAGGCTAACACGTACACAAATGACTTGCGACTCAGACGCACCGTGTATGCCGCCTATAAGCACACACATCAACACTTATAATAACTAAAAAAAAACTGCGATTTTGATGATTTTAGATCATGCTATTTTAAATTTTAACAACGCTTAACCCATAAATATAAACTTTTAATTAAGTTTCTGTTGACCATAATTTGTTTCTTAACAGCCATTTATTGTAACTACATAAATATTGAAAATTTCTAGCAGTAGCTAATTTCTAACTTTAATTTACTAATGCAGTAACAAAATACTGGTATTAACTATGTACAGCTCTAGCAATTTGAGTGGTGTGAAGAGGAATCGCAGTCAAAGGTTGGCATGCAAATGAAAAAGCTACTCATATCACAAAATCTTCTGTAGCTAAGAAGTAAAATTCCAAAATATACTAAACATTTTTTTCTATTCAACTTTAGCTTCACACTGACTCCACAATAATCGTTTCGTATGCCTTCAATGAAATATTATCCGCGCTAACGATATCACTGCAAAACAAAGAAACCAAATATAATTTTTATAGGCAACAATCCACGGTCTTTATAAATATTATGCATTCACTTACCCCTCACTTCTCGTTGAAATCAAATTGGAAATGATAGTCTTGAAATTTCCGCTTACACGCAATGCGTCAGACACATTCGCCGTTGCATCGCTGTCCAGCACATTGGCCAACAGAAGGTACGTCTTCTCATTCTTCAACGAACTGTAACCAAATAATTTAAAAACATAACCCAGAACGCTCCACCTTCCTCCCGCACTTTCTTACCGCTCAATGGCTAAGATATTATCTCCAAAAGCGCTGTAGCGCACGTCACCTAGCTGCAACGTTTTCTGCTTTCGCAGCGCTACCAACTGCTTGTAAATCGTCAAGTGACTCTTCGTAGCCGCCTTCTCGGTATCCACATTTACTGTTACATAATTTGGATTGATCGGCAGCCATGTGGTGCTGTTGGTTGAGAAGCCAGCGTTGGCGGTGTTGCTCCATTGGAAGGGTGTACGCGCAGGATCGCGGGTGAATTGCTCATAGATGTTAGGATTGGAGTTACAAGCAGCTGGATCGCGGCTATCTTCCCAAGAGATATCCAAATCAGTCATGCCAATCTCTTCACCCTAAGAGCGAGCAACAAAAAATTAGATAGTAATATCATCAAAGGCGCTCTCTTAGATACTATTTTCTCTTAGTTAGCGCTCTTCATACTATCAAATATAAATTAACTCTGTACTCACCATATACGTAATACTAACGCCCGGCAGAAACATCTGCAGCATATTCATTGTATCGATGCGGTGCTCTCCATAACGACTACCCACACGTCGCTGATCGTGATTACCCATCTGCATGAAGAGCGATTTAAATTGATAGCTAAATTGAAATAATAAACGCGAAATTTTCCTTCCCGATTACTCACCACCCAATTGGCTGTGCCGCCGGCGGGCATATTGTCCAACCAGCTGCTGATGATCTTCACAAAGCCTGATGCCGGTAGTTGTGTGTTATTCTTATCACCGTTGCCACCGACGATGAACTGGAAATTAAATGGCATTTGTGCGCCTTCCACTGTTCGATTGCCGTAGAATTTCATTACATACTCCAGCGGAGACCAAGCCTCAGTGAGCAACACACGCGTGTCGCCACCATGTATGCGCTTGTAGTCGTCCAGCAATTTACGCCATTGGTACACCATGTCCAATGTTTCAGGCTGGTCCTGTGTGTAGATGTGCAGCAAGTAGCCAGGATCATCAGGATCGTCAGTGTAGCCGCTCTGCGGTTCATCAGGATAGCGGCCATTTTCGTCGGGTAACACCTCAAAGCACCAAGGTACGGCATCAACACGGAAGCCGGCCACGCCACGGTCCAGCCAATAGGTCAAAACGCGCTTCATTTGGGCAACCACGGCAGGATTGCGGTAGTTCAAATCGGGTTGTTTGACTGCGAATTGATGTAGGTAGTACTGCTGACGTTCTTCGTTCCATTCCCAGGCAGGGCCACGGAATTGTTGGAGCTGCAAATTGAGAAATTGCATTAAAATTTAATGTAGCTGAAAATTAGAAGAAAAATTAAGCCCGATAGCCGGCAATGCTTTACCATAAGTAGTCCTCTGTCTCAACTCACCCAATTGTTTGGTGGCACTCGGTTTCCCTCCTCATCCAAATAACCATCGTGCCATACATAGTAGTCCTCGTAGCCTCGCTCACGTCTAACCGACTTCTTGAACCATTCACTCTCGTCACTCGAATGATTTGGCACAAAATCCAATATCACCTTCAGTCCACGTTTATTAGCCTCCTGTATAAGATTGTCAAAGTCATTTAGCGTGCCATACTCGGGTTGTATATCAAAGAAGTCCGCAATATCATAGCCGAAGTCTGCCATGGGTGAGGTGTAGATAGGCGACAGCCAAACCGCTGTGACGCCCAAATCCTTCAAATAGTCCAACTGCGATGCGATTCCCGCCAAGTCACCAATACCATCACCATCGGAGTCCTTGAACGAGCGCGGATAGATCTGATAGAATTGTGCCGTTTGCCACCAATCACGTGTGGGCGTGGCGGTCTGACCGATCACACCGTTGCAAGCTAAAGTTGGCTGGCGCGAAAGAGCCAGCAGTAAAAGCAAAGTAAATATTTTGCGCATTTTCGAACAAACGGTGATCGCGAAGCGACACTGAAAATGAGCTAACGGAGACTGTTTGAAAAGTGAATGTTTGTCGCTTATTTAAAGATTTTGGCTAGCTACTGAAACATCGGTAAGTTGGCAGTTTTTATTGATTTTATCAAACGTCTAATTTTCTGCTGAAGTGCGCTCTTATTATTATCTCATGCGCGTATTATTCGTGTGGTGCACTGTTGGAATTTTTTATGAAGTTGTTAGAAAACAATGGTTTTTAATTTGAGTGCATTCCCACTTGTGTGAGTTTGTTACGGGTATTTACCACATTTGGCTACATTTTTTTTTTTTGTATGGTTTCAAGTGATTATTGTCAACTTAGCAAAACACTCGATACCATAGCGATAAAAAAATCAAAGGGGGTTTATATATATTCAGCTAGATTGCTACATTTATTTCCCTGGTATACATACATACGTAGTAATATAAGCAAAATATTGACAAGTTTAATATAGAGATAACATTTAGAGAACTTATTCTGCGATACGTAAACCATTGAGTTTTCAGTTCTTAACATTTATCAGTTCAAAACAAATAGTTAAACAATTTTTAGCTTCTACATAACTAATCACTAATGGTTTTCATTCTTCGGCGTATAATAAGCGAAGTAACCCACTGTTGTGGTCAGTTTTGTAGAGGAACGCAACACAACGGCTTCTTTAGGTAACAGTTTTACGACAGAGGATTCAACAATATCCCTGAAATGGAAGGTAAAATATTTAATAAAATTAAAAACTCAAACGAGAACTAATGCAATATTATTTACCCCCGTTTCGCCGAGCTTTTGCTAGTCACAATAGCGTATTCAAAGTCATCAGGTATATTATCGAAAGCGCTCTTCAAATCCACCTGCTCCGTTGAGTCGTACAGATTCATCAACAACACGTAAGTGTAATCGTTGAGCAAGATTCTGTGGTACCAAATTTTAAATTTAAAAATCGTTACAACCATTTCACTCTCTTCAGCCTCACTCACCGCTTCACTCCCAGTACATTATTGTTCATCGCTTTCACTTCAACGCTACCGTGACGTAGAGTAGATTCATTACGTAGGGAATGCAACTGCTTATAAACGCTCAAATGACTTAGCGGCTGATCGCGCTCCCTTTGGACATTCACTGTTCTGAAGTCGTCAGCGACAGGCAGCCAAGTTTTCGCAGCTGTGCTAAAGCCAGCATTCTTTGCATCGTTCCACTGGAAGGGCGTACGCTCAGGATCACGTGAGAATTTCTCGTAGATATCCGGATTGGTGTGGCAAGCCGAAGGGTCCACTGTATCGTTCCACGAGATCCAAACATCCGTCATGCCGATCTCCTCGGCATAGTACGAGATGCTCACGCCAGGCAGTATGCTTGTAAGCATGTTCAACATGTCAATACGATCGGCGCCGAGTCGTGAGCCGACGCGATTCTGATCATGATTTCCTATCTGTAAGCAAGTTTCATTTAACAAACTGAGTAATTCTTTCTTTAGCTGTAAACTTACAACCCAATTTGCCGTGCGTCCTTCAGGCATGCTCCGCAACCAAGTATTTACCGTTTCCGCAAAATGATAAGCATCCGAATCATTCGTGAGCCAATTGATCATAAGAAAATTGAATGGTATCTGTGCGCCTTCTGCCGTGCCGTTGCCATAGTACTTCATCACTACCTCAACGGGCGAATAGGCCTCGGTTAGCATGACGCGCTCATCACCGCCATTCTCCTTCTGAAACTCATCCAGCACGCGTCTCCATTCGTAAACCAAATCCAAAGTCTCCGGCTGGTCTACCGTATAGATATGTTTAACATAATTGTAGTCATCTGGATCGATAACCCAATCATTTCTGGGCTCATCGGGCCAGTTTCCTTTAGCATCAGGTGCGATTTCAAACGCAAAAGGCACAGCATCTATACGAAAGCCGGCAACACCACGTCCCAGCCAAAATCGTAAGACATCCTAAAGGAAAACCTTACAAATACATCTATACATCATATAGTTTGCTAGTATACTCACGCTCATCACTGCACGCACTTTCGGATTGCGATAATTCAAGTCCGGTTGCTTACTCAGAAACTGGTGCAGATAATATTCCTTTCGACCCTCATGCCACTGCCATGCCGAGCCACGAAACACGCTCATCCAATTCGTTGGCGGTTGGCGTGTGCCATTCACAATGCGTCCGGGATGCCAAACATAGAAGTCCTTATACTCCTTATCGCCAGCAGCAGATTTCTTGAACCATTCATGCTCATCGCTCGAGTGATTTGGTACGAAATCCAAGATTATCTTCACTCCCACCTCGCGCGACTTGGCTATCAGTGCATCGAAGTCGTCCAGAGTGCCAAATATCGGATCGATATTTGTAAAATTAGCGACATCATAGCCGAAGTCTGCCATAGGCGACGTGAAAATAGGCGATATCCATGTAGCGGCGATGCCGATCTCCTTCAGGTAAGGTAGCTGTTGAGCTATACCTGCGTAGGGAAATTTGTGTAGTTTGAGAACAAGCTAGTTTTTAACAACAATCCAGTCTTTTTCATCGCTCAAACTCACCCTTCAGATCGCCTACGCCATCACCGTTGCTATCTTTAAATGACCTTGGATAGATTTGATAGAACGCCGCCGATTGCCACCACTTTTGCGCTGCATTCAGTTGTGCGACCGTACGATGTTTGTCCCAGCTGATGAAATCAAAGTGTGCATGGTAATTTGGAAAGCCGCCAGTATGTACAACAGTGACGCCACCGCCAGTAACCACAAACAAAAATAGCAATAGGCGCCGTAGCGTCATATTTGCTTAACTCACTATCGCTTCTATTTGTCACTTGAAGTTTTTGTTCTTTAGTTGCAGTATTGAATATCGCTTCTATGGTAAACCACCTACGGATTTGATCTTATACATATATATGTACGTACGTATACGTTTGCGTGATCGGCTCTCACCTGAATAGCCTGCAGAACGCTCAGTGCTAACACAACGACTTCACAAAGCAAACTAATGCAGCCGTTTTAAATGTTTTACGCTGCGCACTTGAGTGAGCAGCATGAGAAGTAAGAGATTAGCGTTAAGAGAGTACCAATGGTGCACTAATTTTGTGTATATTTATTGTTGATATTTATGTGCGTCGCCTTTGTTTTTTTATTTTATTTTAAGCTCAATCATTATTTTTAGTTTACTTCGCTTATTAAACAACAAAACAACATTTGTTTGCTATTTATACAAATATACCCTGCAGGAAAAACTTATATTGACGTAATAAACTGGTTCAGAACATGTAAGAGTTCATAGAATTGGAGCCATTTTCATGCCGTACTCAAACTTTGCAATACTTCAATTTTTTTATTTGTTTGTTTTTTGTTATTGTTTTTCCACACCATTTTTCACAAAAAAACGGCATCAAGCTCGATAAAATTGTTGGATTCAATTGTTCAATGTTAAAGTCTAGACAACTGTACAGTCGCGTAATGAATCTGTGTGCATTTCTAAGATTACCGATTCGAATGGTTTGAAGAAAAGCATAAGCTTTTGAGATCAAAAACATGTACACCAAGTTTTGGCCGAATTTCTAATAAAGAAAAGGTATGTTATTTCCACGGATACAAGAAAGTTAGGTACATATATAAATTTAAAAAGTTTTATTTCTTCGCCGTCCTTTAATTTGAGCTTAGCAGCACCTGGAGAATACCCCCAAATTTTCTCCACCGAATTTTAAGCAGGTGCTTTTTGATAAATTCGTATTCAACTATAAGCATACCCACCACTGCGATAAAAAATGGGTTTTCTTACAGGGTGCTTATGTAGCAAAACGTCGCTAACCAATTTGTTTGTATGTCTTACTTTGTTGTTGTGCGAACATTTTGTTGATAACGATGTCACATTCGATTCTTTTACGGCTTCACGGATTGTTACTCATTCAATCTACCGGCGAGCGCTGGGTTCAACATACTCTCGTCTTTTAGCATTGCGTTGATCTCGAAATATTGTATTTGCGCTGTTGCTTGTACTACATATTCAAGCATACATAAATATATATATATGTACATACTTCGTTATCAAATTTTCAAATTCACTCAATAAGCAAAAAGTTTAAGAAATTGACAGAAAGAAAGAGGATTATTAAAAGATAATAAGACCATTTCAATATTGAGTTCAACACATCAGTGCTTAGCAGTTCAAATACTAAATGCTCAATTAGTCTAGACTTAACTTCACTTAACTTACCGCAAAAAATCGTCAATGATTACTCATGTCACATGTTACATGTCAGCTTAGGCCAGTTGCCTCTATTTCAGCTGTTTGACAGGTTGTTAAGTTGCTTACGGTAAGTTAAGCTTTGGCCAACCGCCATCACATAACATCATATGAAATTTCGGACACCTACTGCAGACTTCAAGTATGGTTATAAGCTAAAAAAGTTTCGATTTACAAATCGAATTTTTCATACGGCATATCTCTGGAAGTGTTCATGGTAGAGTAATAGAGTTTGGTATGGATATATATCAAGTCAATCTCAAGCTCATGGAAATGGTGGTTGTTGGAAAAGGAACCGTGGAACTTGGTATGGAGATGTGTGAATTCAACCCCATACTTATAAAAAAGGAGGTATATGAAACCAATCCGACAACGCATAGATAGAGAAGAAAATATTCACACAGACAACCGGGCATATAGCGACTTAGGTCCATTTTCTGATGTAAGCAGTAAAGTTGGCTTTACTAACAGGGCAGATAAATTGTTCCTCACTTTAAAGTGTTTTAGTTCTCTTTTCGTACCGGTAAAAATAAATTTGTTATTCCGTAGAGTGAAACTTCACTACGTTTCCGAGAGTGAAACTTCACTACATTCGTCATATAATTTCAAAGGTTGACAATGCAACATAAGCAAATATAGAGCAAGAGCAACTGTTAGCAAAAACCAAAACCTTGGTTGAAATATCTAATATATCTGACTCATGAACCAAACCCGAACCAAAATTTAAAGTTGGGTACACATTTTTAGAGGTTGCATCGGGTGAGCAACAATTTATCGATTCGAGAAATGAATGCGCTGATGAGAAAACGAAAACTCGTATATCGAGACGATAAAGTGGGTAATCTAAAGGTTAAATGAGGAAACAGCACACAACCAGCCAATATCAGTACTGCTAGTTAACAACACATACTAGTTACAACTAACCAATCGCCGTGCGAAATATTTTCGTTCTCCAACCGTACAACTACTACACATCGAGCGTTGACACCAAACATCAGGTTTATATATATGATATGATTTAAATCATAATTATGTATAGATCTTAAGCAGTCTTCGTAAGTCGCCTCCAGCAGAAGCTCTCGACAGGGTCAAGTGCATCCAGCAAAGGCTGTCACCGATACTGTTTTCAGAGTTCTACGTATAACTGACTCCATCATCTGTGGAGCGTTTATTTGTAAGTAATTTCCTAAGTCTAACAATACAACTTTTACTTTATGTGTGTGTGTGTGTGTGTGAGTACGTTGATGCACATTCATGTTTTTACCCTGCAGGGAAACCGCGGACCAGTTCAAAATCAGCGAAATGTGGTACCCTTAAAGAAACTGTTTTATTTCACTTTTCTCATTAGAAATCTATATCTTAGGTGACGAATTTAGAACTGGTTCGGAATTATAGAAAAACGGATGCAGAACGAACTAGATTTTATCTGTCGAACTTAGAACTAGTTCGGAACTACCGAAAAAGGGTTGCAGCGGGGGCTTGTTTACTTTTCATAGATATGTGTTTAGCGGCTTTTTCGTTCAAATTCACATTCATTCTGCACTCGGCAGAAGCTTTTTCATTGCTTTGTAATACAAACCAAAAGCTTGTGTTAACATTTTAACACATCTTGGGAGCGTCTGGAATTTAACCAATAACACCAAGCACCTCTGCAAAGTCAGCTACAGCCAAAGCTATGTAAACATACATTTCTTAGAATCATTCCAACAAATTTAATTTTAAATTGAAAAAAAAACATTTCTTTGAAAATAATTTAAAATCGCACACGGAAGAATCGAAAAGATTGAAAAATCATGATACAAACTTTTTTTTTCGTCTGCCGATTTTAGGACTAGTTCGGAACTATTGAAAAATGGATGCATAGGGGGCAATTGACACTTCCTAGGACATCACCAGTTGTTTGCATGCAAAAGAGATTTATCGCGTACTAGTAGTGGTTCTAAATGTGCTAGAAGCGCCCCAGTTCAGAACTAGAGATTTTCGCCACAGGGTAATTACAACGTTTTCTTATCTCATTTGGATGCACATACGTCTGTTATGATCTATTTGCACATGCGCATCATAAGAAGATCATTTTATGATTTTATGTGGACAACATAACATGTCAAGTGCTTGTGCCTAAGGAAAACAATTATAATGGATCAAGGTCCATAATTTATTTCGTTTTACTGTTTTTATCGATAAACGCGTAAGTAGGTGTATTAACAATGTGCATATCACATGTGTATTAGTATGCGCTTTTATGTATGTATGTATATCCCTGCAGTACGGGGGAGCGACTACAGGACTGCTGAATCGGTAGCTACGTGATAAACTCCGTCAATTACCGACCGACTACTTGCAGTGTATTTCATCGATTACTTTAACAAGGCAATGTCCTAGGCGGTAGTCACCATCGGCTCTCTCTGCACTACCGGGAGTTACTAAAGTAGTCACTTTCGTGATTTATGGGCGCCCTCTGTCGTAGTTTTTCGCTATTCTGCTTACGACTGGTTCGATTCTGCACTACCATCTGCACTACCACGGGTTAATAGAGTAGCTACTTACCTAGAAGTCGGTGCAGTAGCGGTTCAAAAGTAGCGATTGACTCCAGCAGTACTGGAGGGATGTTTCTATTTAGTGCGTTTGAATTTATCTTATTATTTATGTTATATTTATATCTATGCGTCTAATGCACGTTCATGGTAACGCAGTATATTATTTACATAGCTGCAATTATCGTCGTTGAAATAAATTAGGCATAATCAGTAATATTTAGTTTTACAAAACTAAACAGATACTATCGCCGTGACCAGAACCACCTGACCATTCACCGTTTGTCTTACCGTCACGGGGAACTACCGGTACCGGCATGGAATCCTCAGTTAGCTCGTCGCTTCTTTCTGATCTACATACATATACAGTTTTGAAATTGGGAAANTTATCGCCGTGACCAGAACCACCTGACCATTCACCGTTTGTCTTACCGTCACGGGGAACTACCGGTACCGGCATGGAATCCTCAGTTAGTTCGTCGCTTCTTTCTGATCTACATACATATACAGTTTTGAAATTGGGAAATACATTAAATTAGCTTGTTTTCCAAATACCTTCATTTGCGTTTTCACAAAATTTGCAAAACATCTTGAAAAACCACTGGAAAATATGAGTATTATTTATTTACCTAAAACCATTTGCCACCCACGAAGCGTTTACTAAAGGTTTGAACGCGCGAATGTCGTAAACTTTCGACTCCATCATAAACTGTGCCGTGGTAACTTATATTTAGTTTTTTATGATTCCTTATCGATCGCCGATAACATAATGCCAACCCGTTTCATCTATAAAAGCGCCATTTGTGGAAATATAACACCACAGTATTGCGCCCAATCGAAGCAAACGATGTTAAACTTTCTAAACGTTTTAGCGCTTTTTGCCCTGCTATCCGCGGCTGCAGGTGCGGCAACAGGCCAGGCCTGGTGGGAAACCGCCTCATTCTATCAAATATACCCACGCTCTTTCAAGGACAGCGATGGTAATGGCATTGGAGACTTGAAGTGTAAGTTAACGCACGCAAAGCACCTTAAGGCAGCTGCCAAATCGAATTTCTACTGTAGGCATTACCCAACAACTGCCATACCTCAAGGAAATCGGCATTGATGCGACTTGGTTGTCGCCCATCTTCACTTCGCCTATGGCGGACTTCGGCTATGATGTGTCCAACTTCACAGAAATTGACAAATTATATGGCACATTGGAAGATTTCCAGGAGTTGCTCGCAAAAGCAAATCAATTGGGTGTGCGAATAATTTTCGACTTTGTACCGAACCACTCCAGTGATGAATGCGAATGGTTTATCAAGTCTGTCAAGAGCGATCCGGAATACAAGGACTTCTATATTTGGCATCCGGGCAAAATTTCCGAAAATGGCACACGAGTGCCGCCAAACAATTGGATAAGTAATTTCCGCGGTTCAGCGTGGACGTGGAACGAAGACCGTGAAGAAGTTTATCTGCATCAGTTCCATGCCAAGCAGCCAGATCTCATCTACAATAATCCGAAAGTGCGCGAATTAATGAAGTTTTGAAAAAAATCTAAATTCATAAGAACGAATTGTCTTTGCTTTAAACGAATTCCAATGGCTCGCATAGGATGTGCTGCGTTATTGGGTGCGCTTGGGTGTTGCCGGCTTCCGTATAGACGCTGTGCCACATATCTACGAAGTAGCTGTCGATGCGGATGGCAATTATCCTGATGAGCCACGTAACCCCGAAGTGGATAACCCCGAATCCTACCTGTACCTAGAGCACATCTATACCAGAGATCAACCGGAAACTCTGGAAGTAGTTTTTGAGTTTCGTCAGGTCTTGAAAGAATTAGATGAGGAGTTGGGTGGCGATGAACACATACTCATGGCCGAAATTTGTTCGTCAATTGATGTGGAAATGCAATACTACGGAAATACCACCACAGATGGCGTTCAAATACCTTTCAATTTCGAACTACTCAACTATTTGGACCAAGATTCGAATGGCTACCTCTACTCGGAAGTCATAAACAAATGGCTGGACAGCATGCCCGAGGGGCGCGTAGCGAATTGGGTTGTAAGTGCAAATGAGCGTTCCAACTTCTTGGTCGGCATGTACTTTTAATTAATTCATACACCTCTTTGGACATACTTTAGTTGGGAAATCATGATCAGAGTCGCATTGGCACACGCTTAGGCGCCGATCGCATTGACTTGATCAACTTATTGCTAAAGACTTTGCCTGGCGTAAGCGTAACTTACCAAGGCGAGGAGATCGGTATGACGGATGTTTGGATTTCTTGGGAGGACACCGTCGATCCACAGGGTTGTCAATCGAATCCAGAAGAATACCAAAGCCTAAGCCGTGATCCGCCGCGTACGCCCTTCCACTGGAATGACGGACACAAAGCCGGCTTTACCGAAGGTAATACAACATGGTTACCTCTGGCTGAGGATTATAGACTAGTGAATGTGAAACGTGAACGAGGCATTGCCTATAGTCATCTAAATGTATACAAGCGGCTGCAGGATTTGCGTGTAGAAAAGACACTACGCGATGGAGAGACTGAAGTGAAGGCAATCAATGCAAATATATTAGGTATTAAGCGGTAAGTGGAGGAGTGGAGCGTTGTTGGATCTCATTTGGGGGCATTTTTCATAATCCCATCCATGCGTGTGTGTATTTTAGTTACCTAACTGGTGAACGAACATTCGTTGTACTCCTGAATATTAACAACGCTTTTGAAACGATCGACTTGAACGCCACGTTTAATGATCTACCCAATGTGCTGTAGTATGTATTGGTGGCGGATAGAAGCGTTCGGCGAAAGGGGTAAGATATCCATAGGTGTCTTTCACTACTTAACTTTACTCTAATTGTCCAATTTAAATTTTCAGTGACAAGGTTCAAAGCAACTACATTGTACTGGTTCCTAAAGAAACCATTGTATTGGCCACACTCGCCTGAGGGACGGAAACCTCGAAGTAATTTTGAATAAACCTTTGGTTATGTAATACATACGCAGATTTTTGATTGATAAATAAATACCGATTTATTGAAGTTACTTCCCCATATTCGGTAATCGTAATCAGTGTGAAATTTTATTAATAAAAATGTAAATCTTAATTGCTTTTGCCAATAAAAAACCTATTAACAGCCCTGTTGTATAAATTTACAGTCGTCTGATTGCATGCTTGACTACAACAGCAAGCATACTAGGGATTACGAATCTGACTATTTGACTAATAAAAAATTGAGTTAACTGAAATCTAGATGGTTGGAACCTTTAAATTTTGCAAAAAAAAAGTTATAGATTTTATCAAGAAGGTTTTCTTTATTTCTTGTTAATATACAAAGATCCAATATGTACATATGAGTGTACACACACATAACTAGTTTACGCATGTATGAGAGGAAAAGTTGGCAGTTTTGCTATCTGGAAGCAACAGTTATCTAGATACTAATGATAAAAGCAAACTAGAAAAATAAAAATATTTCCGCTGGCACATCATTCAGTCGCCGTCGGTCGACCAGCGCAGAACAACTGCCTCGTAAGGCATCATATATAGCCGTTTGCTCAAATCGACTTTTTCGCTGTAAAACGATAAGCATTTCAATATAAAATAGACACTTGTTACCATTTTGCATACCCATAACTGTGAGGCGAGAATTGGCTGAGCAGCACATACACCATTGTCTGGTTGGCCAAGCCATACAAATATTCTATTTTGTTGCCCATATTTATAAGTATGCGGTATTCCTCCTGTTTGGCGGCGGTTCTAATGAAAGAGCCGAATGATTAAAAAAGTTATCTTACGCAATTTTCACCGACTTTACCTCACTACTTGAAATACTTGCGGCAAAACAGCGCCAAATGAGAAACCATTTTCGTCCTTGAAAGCCTTGAAAGCTAGAGTTTGCTTCAACTTAGTCATGCCTTTGAATATATTTAAATGGCTGCGCGCCACGCTACGTTCCGTCGCCACATTGAGCTGCTCGTAATCAACTGAGACCGGCAGCCAAGTTGTCGAACCAGTGGTGAAACCGGCATGCGCTGTGGTGTCCCATTGCATGGGTGTACGCTCGGGATCACGATCATCGCAAGAGACTGGTGTGTATTCAGTGGCTACATTGGACATGCCGATTTCTTCGCCCTGATTATTAAGAAAAATTCAATATTGGAAGGTTCAAATTATTATCGAAAACATAAACCCCCACCAAACTTACATAATAAGTGACTGAAGTGCCGGGTAAAGCATGCACCAGCATAGTCATCAAGTCAACTTTCTCCCGGCCCACCCGGTTGGCCAAGCGTGCGCTATCATGGTTGCCCAGTACCCAGTTGGCCGTCTGATGCCGCGGCCAAATCGTATCCATCCAACCTTTGACCAAATCTTCCACATTTTTGGCCGTCGAGTAGCCAATCAGGGACATCAGATTGAAGTTCATGGGTATCTGCGTGCCAGAGTGTGTGCCGTTGTTGATGTAATCGCTGAGCACTTCAACAGAGGAGTAGGCTTCTGCAAGTAACGCGCTGCCAACAAAAAGGTTACGAATCTTTTATTAAAAAAAACTCAAAATCTGCTATTACATACACTCCATCCGAGTAACTCACATCGTGTCTACACCATTCTGTCGTTTGTACTCATCAAAAAACTGCCGCCACTCGTAAACGACTTCAAGCGTCAGTGGTTGATCTTTTGTGTAGATATGTTCGTGGTAATTGTAGCTGCTGGGATCATCACTCCAACCGCTGCTCGGCTCGTCTGGATATGTGCCGTTAGCATAACGTTTTTCACCAATATGTGGCACCGCATCAATACGAAAGCCATCCACGCCACGATCGGACCAGAACTTCAACACCCCTCGCATATGTTCACGCACCATTTGGTTTCTGAAGTTCAGGTCTGGTTGTTTCGGCAGAAACTGGTGTAAGAAATATTGCTGACGCTGCTCGTTCCACGTCCACATTGACCCACTGAAGACGCTCACCTACAATATGAAAGCAACTCGCAAGTAATAACAAAATGGTTCCGAAGTACACGCACCCAATTGCTCGGCGGCATACGCTCGCCTGTCTGCGCATCGATTTTGCCATCTTCCCACACATAGAAATCATCGTAGCCATCTTCACGACGCACCGACTTCTGGAACCACTCGCACTCATCGCTCGAGTGATTGGGCACAAAATCCAAAATGATCTTCAGTCCCAGTTGGTGCGCCTTGGTAATCAGTGCATCGAAGTCTGCCATTGTACCAAATATCGGATCAACTTCAGTGAAATTTGAAATGTCGTAACCGAAATCTGCCATAGGTGATTTGAATATAGGCGAAAGCCAAGTAGCTGTTACGCCCAGCTCTTTGAGATATTCCAGCCGCGAAGCAATGCCATTCAAGTCACCCACGCCATCACCATTGCTATCCATAAAAGAGCGTGGGTAGATCTGATAGAGTGTAGCCGATTCCCACCAGTCGACAGTAGTAGTGGCAGTAGTGCGCTTGCCATAGCAGAGCAAAAGCACTGTGCATAACGGTAGCAGTCGCGACCACATCTCGAAACCTACTGTGGGGTGTCACAGCTGACTTAGGTTTTAACTGCTGTCGAACTAATTGTATCTACAAGGGGTCTTTATCGCACTTGTTGACAGGAATCGAGGAAATGATTATGCAAAATCGTCGATTTTCAGTGGGGCGGAGGGAATTTACACAGATAGAAAATTTATTGTTCATTCGTTTTTGCGATAATTGGCTTAGGTAATCATGGTTGAAGGATTGCAATAAATACTTAAGCACTTCAAATGAAGGCAATATATATGTATGTATGTTTGTTTACAGATTTGATATATGGACACATAAAGAAGCCAATTAAAAATAAGCAAATTATATACATAGATATATACTTGACCATTGAAAATTTTAGCGCTACATAGATAGAAATGGGTAATTATATAAATTTATGGAAGTTAATAAAAAAGCCATCAGAAACGTTGCTATGAATTGGCGCAACCCAGTATTAGTCTTTTATGAAAGTTAATGGCAAATTTCGGTGGTTTTGGTAAAATTTTTAGTCTCCGAAGACTACATTGGTCAAACAATTTAGGTTGTTTTATAAGTTATTTACTAAGCTCTTAGTTTGCAAACATACTGGTACCTATAACAATTAGGGAACAAGTAAGAACAGCGCTGTCTTCATACCTTCATGAGCATCTGAAAATTTTACTTTAACCGATTACTACACTTGAAGAAATTTATATATTCACAGATAGAGGAGTTACATATATAAAAAAAATCATATCTGAGCAATCAGTTGTATGGGGGCTATAAGTTATAGCAATCCGATCGTCGCCATGTTCACTATAAGTATTCTTTTGACAATGAGTGACAACAGTACAAAATTTCCAGTTCCAAGTTGCATAAATGCAGGAGTTATAACGAAAGGTCTTATATCTGAACAATCAGTTGTATGGGAGCTATATGTTATAGTGGTCCGATTCTTCCGTTGCCGTCGATTAAAACATTATAAAAATACATCCACATATCAAATTTCATCCGGATATCTCGAAAACTGAGAGACTAGATTGCATACAAACAGACGGACAGACGGCCGTGGCTAAATCGACTCAGTTCGACGCTCTGATCATTTAAGTATACATTTTCATAGGTCTATCTTCCTATTCTGGTACTCACAAACATCGGACCAAAGTTATAATACCATTTCATGCTCATGAAAGGTATAAAAAGGGACTGTGTCGATGGGAATGCTCCGTTGAATAAGCGGTCGATAACAATACCCTTCCGGAAATTTTCTAGCCAAACCCTGATTCCGTCTAGAGCCTGGCTAGCATAACTCAGATTTTCTCGAAAGTAACAAAACATTTTCTGGCATGGCAATCCCTTCTAGAGATGATCTATTCCGGCGCTTAATAGGTTTCCTTAATAATTTCTTCACCCTGTAGAATCTGAACAAGCTCTAATTATAAAAATTAATCAGAGAAAATCACTTCAGGCACTGCACAGATTCCCTCAACAACGGTTATCTCTCGTAATGCCTGGACTGGCACTACCACGCAATATCTTGAATTGGGTAACCACCTGAACTGGTGGTGGATTTTTTCTAGTACGTTTACGTTGACAGCGCTAATAGAGCATCTGTCATGCGACAACCGTAAAATAGAATATATAGTATAGAGAGTATAGAATATATATAGAAACATATTTCGATGACAAAATTAGTGAACATGTCGATAACGATAAGTTTATCAATGAAGGTGGATAAGAACATCGATTATTTATCCATTACAATATTTATAAATCATGGCCTATTGAATAGGTAGTACAGTAGAGCAGCTGTATTTATTTTTTAAACTAAGTATCTATTTGATCTCTAAATTCTAAATTGTCATAATGTGTTTGCATGGGAAACCCAAGGCGAATTCAATTAGGTGGTGTTGGGGCGACAGCTGATTTTTTCGCCGTGGAAATCTTAACGTCAAAACAATGCGTTTGTTGAAATTCACAATGTGATTGTGCGTTCAATTTGTTAGTGTAATTTTTTACTTATGTATGGTAAATATCGCCTCATTAAATTCGCCTCGCGGTTGAAAACCTGCTTTTGGAACGTTCGCTAAACTCACGGGTACAATCGCTGACTTATTGGGCATTTCAGAGAATGGATTTAGGCTTCTGGAAACAAAACAATTTACGAAGAAAGAAAGTAACATCAACTTCTTTTTTAGTACATACTTAAGGGCTGTTTGCAGCTTTCAATAAAAATCACAAGACATATTTTGGATTATTTCTGTTGGTTGAAAAAGTACTTTGCTTTTAATGTAAATTTTCTTGAAGAAATAAATATTTCAGCATTTTGATTTTTGCAGCTATAACTGATTACAAAATTTTGTTTTCCATTACTTATGCGTAATTTTTTTATATTCATTCTTCGTTTTTCAGGAGAGCTGCAAGCAATTTAAATGTTGTTCCTTTCAAAATTGTCCGGTCAACCACAGTCTCTTTTTTTTGCTTGTACTAAAGTGTATTTAACTTTCACACATACAAATATGTTTACAACAAAGGTGTGCCTCCCCGGTGTGATTGTTTGAAATTTGTACGGCATTAAAGGTCAAAGGCTGTTGATTGACGATGGGTCCAGTTTGTCTGGCCATCTTGCATGTCATTTTTGATGCTGTAAACACATCTCTTTTAATATTCAATAGCAGTAGTGAGCTTAAAAAATCAAATATTCTACATTCAATTTACAAGCAGACTACAGACAATATATGTACTAGAGGGCTGCATGAATCCATTCTAAACGGCAAATGAATCATTCATATTGAAATTTAATGAATGTGATTGGGTTTGAATTTTATTGAATTTAAATGAATAGCTTTGCTGATATGATTGTCGACATTACAATATTCAAACGATGTGAAAACAAATTGAGTGAATATGATGGAATTTTTTTTATTTTTATAAATCTAAATACCTACATTTCCTTCTATTTATTGAACTTTTCTTATACATATTTTGTACTTGTATGCGCCATAAAAGAGAGTCATTAGATAAGAATTGAATTGGTTTCAACATATAGTGTATTTATATTTCTATATTTGAATGCAGAAACATTATTTTATTTACATTGTCTGGGTTAAGAGCAATAGTACAACGTTTTTCGGTTATTAAATTTCTTGCATCTGAAAAGGCTCTTTCAGAAACCGCGCTACTTGCGGGTATACATAAAATTTTGCAGCTCGTTTTGTATAAAATTGGAAAAAAATTTTTGTTCAGATACCACCATTTAAGGCAGTCGAAGTCAGCAGTGAACGTAACATTTAGGTTTGAATAACTTTGAATCTCCTGATCCACTTGAGCCATGGCGCTGCCTTCATGATTGATTTCGATAAAATCTGCGAACGCATTATCTTCCAAGATGTCGTTGCTTTGTATATTTCCATCAGATCCATGTCCAATAAAGCTAGTCATTATTTCCTTACAATTTCTGATAACTTGTAGTTTTTCATCCGAAGAAAATTGTAGTAGTTTATTTGTTGGCGGAAACAAAAAATGGGCAATTTTGTGGTATTTTGTTAAATGTGGGAAAACTGTTGCCAAAATTTCATTGAGGAGAACCGATTTTACTTGAGTTATAAATTCGATATCATTTTCGCCAGCAGAACAGGACTTTTTTAATTTGCTTACATATGGAATTATCAAATGAATGGTGGGCAATTTACTCCCTTCAAGCTTTTTAGAAGCATAATCAAATGGCTCTAAAAGTCCAGCGACGCAACTTAAATGGTTCACATTGAGGTTTTCTATTCTGCTTGTTTCTTTTTTCTCTTTCAGAATATTTGCTATGTCGAACCAATTTTCCTCTATTGATTTAACTAGATAAAATATTGTATTCCAACGGGTTGGGCAAAAACTTTTCAAAGAAATTCGTAAACTTGCATTTGTTCCTGATTTTTTAAAATATTTTACAAGCTTACTGCATTTTGTTACCATTTCAGTAAGTTCAGGTACTGTCGTAACTGCTTTTTCAATAACGTTGTGTAGTAAATGGTTGATGCAATGAATGCTTTCCGCTCCTCGAAAAGCTGCAATCATGTTACTCCCACGGTCTGTCACTATGACAGGATTGTCTTTTTCAACATCACATCCAAAATTTGCTAGTATTTCTTTTATCTTCCCGCGAATATTTAAACCTTGAAATAATGAAATAAAAAGGATTTAAATAACCTTGGACTCAACACATTATTGAATTGAAGAGCCATTATCTTAATGTTAATTGTTTGTCTTGTTTTGGACGTAAAATTGTAAATTTCATTAACCAATCTAAATATTATAGTATAGCCAATATCTGCACAGAATAAAAAGGGACCGTGCTGTCCAGAAAAATATTTTAATCAAAATAAGAAAATGTCCTATCTCTCAATTTTACAGGAAATATTTTTAATCAATTCAAAACTATTGACAATTACCGCGTCGCTGCTAATATCACTGACGATTTTCGTTCAGCTGCTCGAGATGAAAGAAATCTCGTTTTGTAAAGGAAGAAATTGTCTATATAATTGCAGTGGGAAGTACTACGCTGCGACTAATCTTTTCGGCTAATGTTAAGGGCTGTTAGATAAGTTAACGGCCCTAAGTTTGATGAAACCTGTGGATACATGGCGTATGAGCAACATCATATCCTGGTCATACATGCCCAACCAACCCCGCCATCCTGTCCCTGCGTCCTTTTCGTTTCATCGATGTTTTCATTTACATCAACTGAGCACAACAAAGTTTCACATATTAAAATATTGTATTTTTGATTTTCGCGTGAAAAGCGAATATGCTTCTGAGCGTCAATACATGGCGATCGGCTACTGAAAACTTCAAACGAATATCCAGATCAGTCACGTCCTTTGAGTTGTGACAGATGTGTTTACCTTCTGATTGTAAGTTTGTTTAAAATATTTGTGTATATTTCTCACCTGTGCTTGCATTTCCTTCCATGGATTTCATTGCTAAGAGACGGTTTACAAGAACACCGTCTTTTACGTAGTGGATAGTGCATGATAAATACGACGCCCTCAAAATATTGTCTGTCCAAATATCAGTGGTAATTGAATACCCAAACATTTTGCATCTTAAAATTTCGTTTTTTATTGCTTCAAAATGGATTTCATAAAGCCCTGATATATTACGCGATATCGTTGTAGGGTGGGGCAAAAGCTTATCAACGTTCACATTGGAACCGTAGGTTGCCCCTATGTAAATTAAAAATTTTGCAAATTCTTTTAGCCCAGAATCGTCAATTATCTTAAAAGAGCGACAGTTTTTGACAGCCCATCGCGTAATATGAGTAATACCCTCTTGTTTCGTCTCATTACTTACTTCTATTTGAGCAACATTATTCACACTATGGGCATTTATAATATAGCATTTATGTCTTACAATATTTGACGTGCACCCCGTAAATTTGTAAATGCCGTAGCATCTTTTACATGCTACAATATCGGGCAACTCTTCGCCAGAGTTATTTTTAACATTGGAAAATATCTCCCAAACTTTGCTACGACCTCTTTTTTGACTCAGAGTGTATTCTCCACTGTGGAGCTTCTTCTTGATGCCGGCACTTTGCAATAATGCGCTTGCGGAGTCCTGTTATTATAAACATATACCATTATCATTATTAAATGGACCGAAATGTAGATTCACTATACATACATACGTACATCATTTTAAGCTAAACGTACTTACATTTTCCTCTACACTTTCCATTCTTTTTTTCGTTTTCGATGCTAAACACAAAATATCACATAAATTGTAATAAATTTGAGTCTGAATAAATTTAAGGTTTTTCATTCATTCATTTATATAATTCTATATGAAGTTAGAAAACTTGAAACGCAATGAATATTCATAAAATACAAAATTCAAAACGCTGGGTGTTTTGAACTTGAAATAGAATACATAATTCTACTGTACTCTCTTTGGCTAGAAATTAGAATCGACTCATGCAGAGGTCTAATATGTACATGAATAATTCAAAGTAGATTGAAGAGGCAGCGTAAGTAAATGATTCACTTTTTCGGCAATAAAATTTCTAAAATGGTTCGATTTTGATAATAAATATGTCACATAGTTAATAGTGGAAAAGTACTACTACATGCATATGTATATAGTACATAAATAGCCACTTTAAATTGCAATAAATGGAAAATTTATAAAAAATTATTTTATTTAATGAACAATCTAAAACTCACTCCATACAAGTGTTTGTTCACATAAACACCGCAAATGACATACTCGAATTGGTTCACTTTGAAGATTAACTAGCTGGTATATTATGTCTGTTCCATGTTACGATTGCGGTGTTGTTAACTTGCTGATGCCCTACCAAAATTCGATTGTTGTTGTGACATTATATCCCTTCAAAAGTAGTCAAAATATCGAGCCCTAACCATTGGCTATGCACTACTTAATTAGCGAAATAGTCACCCTGTACATCAGTGTTGCATCGATTCATAGAAAATAAAATCCTAATCATTTTAAGCGCGCTTTTAGTATAACGCTAGTCATAGTCTAGCCGTTGGAAATACAGCTATGAACTATTAGATCGGTTCGGTAGTATGGTATTTTATTGCACGCTTTTTACAAAATTTGATAGGCTATCGTGTACACGCCCACTATATTTCATTCTATTATGCTCTTAGGTACAATTAGAGCTTTCTTTTGTTGCCAAGTTATAGAAAGCAACAGATGTCGCAGCCGAGTGTGTTAACAGGCATTTATCACTAAGTAATAAAAACTTTAGGCAAGCTCTTCAGCTACTCAAGAGTGCTACAAATCAGTAGATATAGAAACATGATTGTTTTAGTGGGAAATAATTTCAAAACTAATTAAAGGGGCAGTAAAATTGTTTTTTTTTTAGTATGCTTAAGTATTTTTATTTATTTGTATACCAGCCACCATTCATTACTGGCGCGCTGCCTTGCAAATGCATATCTGGACTTAAATGGCCAAACGTAAAACATATCCGTTGTATGCCTTGGCCTCAAACGAATTGGCATTCACGATTTGCCTGACCGGAAGAAAAAAGAAATAGTAATTACATAAATGTATCCTTTAATGCTCAGCTAGCTGCTCACCCATTTGGTATGTCGGAGTGCAGTGAACTGACAACAACCTCGAGCTTGGCACTTAGATCATCGAATAGAGTACCCAAATTCAAAGATACATTTTCGTCACCAATATTCAGCACCACAATGTATTTGTCACCAGTCTCAGCGGCCCTGTGAAATAACATCGAAATCGAAATGAGCAGTAGTTCATGCAACCAAATCAACCAATTCTTACCTAATATACACCAATACATTCTTCACGACGACTGACACATAGCTACCATCAATGAAAGCAGCCTCCGACTGCCTCAACTGCGTTAGCTGTTTGAAGATTTTCAAGTGGCTGTTCTCAGCAGCCAACTGCGCTGCCACATTATTATCTGCATACGACTGACCAATTGGCAGCCAAGTGCGATCAGCAGTACTGAAACCGGCATTCTTCGTGTTGTCCCACAGGAAGGGCGTGCGCTCACTATCGCGTGAATACTGGAGATAGGTGGTTGGGTCAGCGTTGCAGCCCTGTGGATCAACGGTATCTTCCCACGAGACATAGCCGTTTTCCAAACCATATTCTTCACCCTTGAATACAATTTTATTTAATGAAAGAATGCTCAAAAAATCGATGATGAACTCAAGCTTACATTGTAGGTAACTGCAATTCCCGGGAGAGTCTGCAAGAAGATGTTCATTAGGTCAGCACGTTGTGCGCCGAAACGCGAGGCCAATCTTGGGTTGTCGTGATTGCCCAGCACCCAATTGGCATACACGCCTTTGGGCATGTTGCTCAACCAGTGATGTACATAATAATCGAAGTCCAAAGCACTGCTCTTATTATTCAAACCAGCCAACATCTCGAAGTTGAATGGCACATGCGAGCCGTTACGCAGTCCATCGCCATACATGTGCATTAGATTTTCGAAGCTAGTGTAGGCCTCCGTGAGCAACACTTTGGTGTCGGTGTTGTGTTCGCGCGTCCACTGATCAACGAGCTCACGCCACTGGTAGATAATCTCGAAATCCTCGGGCAGCGAGTTGGTGAAGGTGTGGTTCAAATGGCACCAATCATCCGGATCGGGACAGGTGCTGATGTCAGAGCTTAATGGTTCGTCGGGATAAGTGCCAGTTTGTGGATCTATTTCGACTTCGAAGAGGAAGGGCACAGCGTCAATGCGAAAACCATCAATACCACGCGCCAGCCAGAAGCGCAATATATTATTCATTTCCTCCAGTACATTCGGATTGCGATAGTTCAGATCGGGCTGTTTAACGCCAAACTGATGAAGGTAGTATTGTTGGCGTTGCTCATTCCACTCCCAGGCGGAGTAGCGGAACTGTGAGATCCAGTTGCTGGGCGGCTGACGTTCACCGGTGGTGGAATTTATAACTCCATCGTGCCAAATGTAGAAATCGCGATAGTAAGAATCATTGGCTACTGAGCGTTGGAACCATTCGTGCTCGTCGCTGGTGTGATTGGGTACAAAGTCGAGAATGAGGTGCAAGCCAAGACTGTGTGCGCGTTCGATTAGGGCAAGCAAATCCTCGTTGGTGCCATACTCAGGCTGCACATTGGTGTAATTCGAAATATCATAGCCGAAATCAGCCATTGGCGACTGGAATATCGGCGACAGCCAAACACCTTTCATACCGATATCCTTTACGTATTCCAACTTTTCGTTGACGCCTGTCGGGTGTGTAGCAGCGGCATGTATTTATTAGGAATTATTTGTTAGGAGCTTCCGATGAAGAATTCGTACTTACCATTCAGATCGCCAACGCCATCACCGTCGCTATCCTTAAAGGAGCGCGGATAGATTTGATAGAAATTGCCATTTTCCCACCAGTCTTGCTCGCTGTGGCTGAGATGGCAGAGTGCCAATGCTAGGAGAAATATGCCGATAAGTTTTCCCATGTTTTAGTTAGTAGGAGGTTACTGTGTTACTGGCTACAGCTGCTGGGCGACGGTATTTTATAGCTGCGAATGGCATTATACTTGTACACAGCGGACAATACCGCTATTTTTCTAAAAAAAAATTTACGTTTTGCTACCAATTTGTGTTTGAAATTTCCAGTGCTTTAATGCCTCGGGCATGACAGTTTTCATTGGCAGCTGCGCAAACTAAAACTTGGGGTATTTTTTTGTGCAAATTATTTAGATAGACGCATGCATTTTTATATAAGTAATCAAATAATGTTTATGAATATTAAGAAAATATGTTTATTTACATACATACCTGTGTACACAATTTTAGGTGACGTCAAGGCTTTTTTTTTTGTATGGCCTTGTATTTCTGAAGGAAATAAAAATTAAAAATTCTTAGGACAGAACGAGAATTGCACTGTACATGGCTACAGTGACATTTGACGTCATTTAATTCCAGCTGTTAGAAACGTAAACAAGCAATAGCATTTAAGATATGATACTTTATTTCATTCTTAATTTTATTTACATTTACATACACATACATATAACTATGCATATTGAAGTTGTTTTCTAGTTGCTTAGTTGCTAGTTCAGTGTTAGCGCAGAACTAGCTCATCCAGGAGGCGGTATTGGTTATCGATCTATTCCACGATTGAGAGAATACAAAGGTTGCGCCGATCTCGGACCGCTATTCCTCTCTTAACGAATTTGACAGAATCGTGGTTTGCATGACGTCACACTTGCGCAACTTGTTTACGTTTTCCTTGCAACATTTTTTCTTCTTCTTCCATTCTTGCTCACGTTTTGACATTTCTCTCTCGCAATTGCACCAGTGTGACGTCACACAAAAGTTATTCTCAAAAATCCTCTCTGATCGGCGCAATCTTGTATTCTATCATTCTTGGATCTATTCCATCGCAATGCTTTCAACTTTTTACGTGGAGAGCTGGACGCGGTGTTCTGATGTGCTCTGAGAGCACAATAAACCTAAGGTCGCAGTGCTCATCCTCTAAAGATGCTCTCAAAGCAGTAGGAGAGTTTCTGACCTCTATTTCAGTTTAGTTTAATTATTTCCTAGACACACTTATGTGAGTACCAGCCCACTGTGATATTGCCTGAGTTTGCGTTGTGTATTATTGGTCAGTAGGGAAGGGTCGAGAAAAGACTTTAACTGCGTACGGCTTCCAGGTTTTACGAGGCGAAAAACTAGCCACCTTCAACTATCTTTGAGGACCTACGACAACATCTTCCGCCTTGGCACCCAGGTTTCTTCGCTTTAGCTTAGCAGTTGCTTTCATGGTGTAATCACAAAGGGTTGTTTCTTATTGTTCCAGAGTTTCCTTGTTAGCGCAATTTCTTTAACGTAGCCGAACCTAAATCGCAACAAGATCTTCTTCCCAACTCATCCCTTCCGAGAAATTTTTCCTTGGCTGACAGCAATAAAATAATAATAATATTTTGGCGCTTACACCTTTGCTAAGTGTTTGGGCAAGCTTCTCCTCCAATTTGTGATGTGGGTTTTGATATTTTTTACAAAAATAATGAGACCTATATACAGTTTTACTTTGCCTCTGAACGGTAAATGGCTTTTATGAGAAGCTTTTTCATGGCAGAAATCAGCGTTGCCATTTTAGCCGTTTTCCGGCTAGATTTAGCCGGTTTTGATAGCAACTTGCAGGAGAAAATTCGATCTAGCCGGCAGCCGATTTGTTGGCCGGTTTGTAAAAAAAAGTTAGCCGTTTTTAGCCGATTTTACTATTTGCCTAATTTTCAGGTGCAAAAAGTAAACAAGTTGTTCGAAAGCAATAATGCAGACCCAATGAAGATTTTTAATGAACTCAATGTTTTACTTTCGCATCTATGCTCCCTAGTGGTTATTAGCGCGGACACATTTGATCCTATATGCTCCCCGTTGGAACCATACCTTGCTCCATTTCCTCAGTTTTATCACAGTTTTGAAGAGTATTTAAAAACAAAAGTAAGCACAAACGCTTTTGACCACGAAGCCGAGAAAATAATTCGAGAAAATGGTCGCTATTTTATTATCACTTTAATAAAGGAATTACGCCGACGTCTCCCTACAAATATTGCCACACTAAAAAAAATTGACTTTTTTCGATTGGAAATGCATTAAGAGTAATTAAACCAAAAGTATTAGTTCAACTACAGCAACAAAAACACAAATATAACGCCGACGAAATAACATCCATAGAGATGCAATGGCAACGGTTAACATTACATACCTGGAGTAATTTAGACTCAACTGTAAAATTTTGGGCCGAAGTTTATCAATTTCGAAATGCCCTAGGAGAAAACCCTTTTGCTGACCTTTCGCAACCTAGTTTTTAGTTTTCTTGTTTTGCGTATAAGTAATGCAGAAGTAGAGCGAATATTTAGTTCAATGAATATAATAAAAACTAAGCAAAGAAATCCAATGTGCGTTAAAACGTTAAACGCTATTTTATATATAAGATACGGTTTAAAACGTGAAGAAAAATGCTGCCATAATTTTACTGTAGATGACGATCTCTTAAAATTAATGAATTCAGGTGATATATACAATAGTGATTCATTTGATGATGAGGAATATACACTCGATATAAATTAATGGTGTTAACTAGTCTTTCGTTTCTTGCGATTTATTTAAATAAAGCATGTGAAGTTTCACTAAAACATTTTAGCCGTTTTTAGCCGCTTTTTTTGCCAATCCGGCCCAAAAAGTTCTGGCAACACTGGCAGAAATACCCTCGGAGGTTTACCATTGCCTGCAGAGAGGTGAACGCTGTTTGAAAAAACTGTTTGTAATTTAGATGTTGCTCGGACCAGGGATCGAACACAGATCTTGCGGAGTGGTAGTACGCATCTCTATCAACTTTTCGCAATTTTATTGGCACATTTTCATTTTATTTTATTTAAACTCACGCATAGCATGAAAATAATGAATGCTCCAGAAAACGCATTGTGCCGGAAAAAATTTCCATAGGTAAACACTTAAAACAAAACAAAGTCAGTGCCCTATCGAAATATATTACTCAAATAAAACAAAACATAAAAAGTAACTCCAACAACACTACCTACACCACATTAGCAATGCTTAACTTCAAGTTTAATGCCAGAAATGAAAGCAATGTCAATTGAATAGCAAAAAATTAGCAAAAAAATTCGCACTACTTGGACTCAATCTCATGTGAACCAAACGATCAGTACTTTCCTGCCGAGTGACTTTACGCGCATTTAATGTTTACAAAGCAATTGTTCGATAAAAATCACAAACCCCCACTCCATAATTATCAATAAGTGTTTTTTTTTCGTGATTAAAAATAAAATCACAGAACGATTTCAATATAAAAGCCCACTGGGTGCTAAAATTCAATTAGTGTCGGTTGTATATCAAAGCGCTTTTGTTACGAGCAAAATTTTAACGGTAATTAGTGGGAAAATACATTCGATCAGTGGCGAAATAGTGAACGTAGAAATGCACAAGGCGATCACACTAGCGTTGGCGGCGTTTACGCTGTTGGCCTTATTTACTACCGCCACGCAGGGCAAGGATTGGTGGGAGAATGGCAATTACTATCAAATTTATCCGCGTTCATTTCGCGACAGCAATGGTGATGGCATTGGCGATTTGAATGGTAAGTGGAAGAGAGAGAGAAGCACTTATTTTTTAGAAACGAAATCCAAAAGAAATCCCCACATTTTCATTTCCATTCTACCTCCCAGGTGTCACCGAAAAACTGCAGTACTTGAAGGACATCGGCATCACAGCGGCGTGGCTGTCACCGATCTTCAAGTCGCCTATGGCCGATTTCGGTTATGACATCTCTGATTTCTATCAAATCCACCCAGAGTATGGTACTATGGAAGACTTCGAAAATATGATTAAGAAAGCCAAAGAGGTTGGCATTAAAATTATATTGGACTTTGTGCCAAATCACTCCAGCGATGAGAACGAATGGTTCATCAAATCCGTTGATGGCGATCCGGCTTACGTCGACTTCTATATCTGGCACAATGGCAAAATCAACGAAACTACCGGCGAGCGTGAACCACCCAGCAATTGGTTGAGCGCTTTTCGCTACTCCGCCTGGGAATGGAACGAAGTACGTCAGCAGTACTACTTGCATCAGTTCGCTATCAAGCAGCCCGATCTCAACTACCGCAACCCAGCTGTTGTGAACGAGATGAAGAATGTAATGCGCTTCTGGTTGGCCAAAGGCATTGCCGGCTTCCGTATTGACGCTGTGCCCTACCTCTTTGAAAAGGAACTGGACCGCAATAACAACTATCCCGATGAGCCAGTAATCGACGATGTGAGCAGCTGCCCAGACCCTGACGATGGCTGTCACTTGAAGCACATCTACACCCAGGATCAACCGGAGACCTTCGATATGGCCTATCAGTGGCGTGCACTGGCCGATGAGTTCAAGAAGGAGCATGGCGGCGACACACGCATTCTACTCACCGAAGCCTACACCAGTTTCGAAAACATCCTGCGTTTTTATGGCAATGGCGTGCAAAATGGCTCGCATGTTCCCTTCAATTTCGATTTCTTGACAAATGTTGTGAACAACACCAAAGCACCAGTGGTGGTGGAACACATCGAGAAGTGGCTGAACGCCATGCCGGAGGGTGTGTACGCGAACTGGGTGTTGGGCAATCATGACAACAAGCGTCTTGCCTCGCGCTTCGGCGTCCAGCGCGCAGATCTCTTCAACATACTGCTGCAGACATTACCCGGCAATGCGGTAACTTACAATGTAAGTGACGGTTATATNTGCGAACTGGGTGTTGGGCAATCATGACAACAAGCGTCTTGCCTCGCGCTTCGGCGTCCAGCGCGCAGATCTCTTCAACATACTGCTCCAGACATTACCCGGCAATGCGGTAACTTACAATGTAAGTGACGGTTATATCTTTACTAAGAAACATGCTTTTTGCTAAACCAGTCTTTCTTCAGGGTGAGGAGCTTGTAATGACTGACGTATTCATCAGCTGGGAGGACTCTGTCGACCCGCAGGCCTGCAACGCAAATCCTACTAACTACTATGGCTATTCCCGTGATCCTGCGCGCACACCTTATCAATGGGATGCATCACCAAATGCCGGTAAGTGGCCTTATCAATAAGAGTGATAAGTTGAGAGCTATTTGACAAGTGCCAC